CTCAGCCCTATTCATGCATAAGCATTCCCTTGATTTATACACTCCAGCCCTGATATTGGAAAGTGCTGAGCTCTCAGTTTCCATTAAAATCACCAGATATTGATAGATCCCAAGAGCACTAAGAAAGAAATAGACCTATTATGTTAATATTATGTTGTAAAAGAAAAAGAATCCAAATTTGAAATGAATAAAACTTCTTAAATAAAAATAAGATGCATAAATTGCTGCAGTCTCAATGGAAGCTCAAGAGCAGCTATTTTTTGTTCAGCTTAGCTGGGTTTCTACAAGGCAATTTATATGACAACTCTATTTTCTCTGGCAGTTTTGCTGAAGTATGAACATAAAAATGTGCACTCCATAGGCATAAGCAAAGTTGATTAGTTTGGTTTCAGTGTGCCTATATGGTAGAAGGATTTGTAACTGAACTAAATGAAGGGATTGTCATTTTACTTTGTGTTTTACGGTCATCTTTTTTCTACATTAGAAATACTGAGTTAAAATATTTTTTCCACAGCACAAATCAAAATTGTATGGCATAATTATGTGGTTCTGTGATAGTCTTTGGAATTTCACAGTTTGTTATATGAGTTGTTCTGCAGCTGTTCCCTGCAGAGGAAATACTTCCCATACACACACCTGTGCACACACATGCACACAACTGCCCGTTGTACACAACTACCCATTTTCCCGTGGCTTTTTTTCCCTCTTCTCAAGGCTCAGCATCTGACTTCAAGGGGCCGGGTAGGAGAAGATGCTCCTCTTAATTCTGTGGCACTCCCACTGTCAGAAGTGTGCTTGGAAGCACTGAAATAAATCAGGCTTGAAGTATATCAGGTTGAAGCCTGAGTATCAGGAAGCAACTTTGTAAGAGCAGCTCTGTTAGTGTGGTTTAGAAAGCGCTGTCATACCAATTACGTACAGTGGTGTAGAGTTTTGTAGATGAGATCCATCAGTGCTTAAAGAGAGGAGAGAAATCACTGCTTAACCCGATGCCTTTCTTCATGGAACTCGCACTTTCTCTTAAACCTGATACTATTTGCCAGAGAGGAGCGTCTCAGGTTCTCACACCTGGCAGGGGGTTACAAACTTTGCTATTTTTTTTTTTTGTGTGTAACATTTTCGTTGAGGAAACAAAGTCCGGTTAGTGCACTCCATTCTGCTGTTTGTATGGGAACTCCAAGAAACCCCTTCCTGAAGCCCCAGGACTGCAGAGGGGCAGCTTAAGCTATTTGCGGGATGTGTGCTTGAGGCATGCAATGGCAAATATCTCTCACGAAATCAACTGCGAATCGTCTGAACAAGGTAAAGCACCACGTGGAGCAGATGACTTTCCGGAGAGATGTAATTCCTCGGAGAAACAAAGAACCAGAGGAAAGAAAATGTAACAGGAGAAAAAATACTGATGTAGCAGAGGGGGCTGTTTCTCTTTGAATTCTGAAAAACAAAAAACAAAACAGACACAACAACAACAACAACAAAAAACCCACAGTGTTTCTAATTGCACACTGAGCCCGCTCGTCGCGGCGCCGTTAATTACGGTGAGCCTGGATTTGCGATGCTTCTCACTAACGAGCCGCTCGTTTTACAGTGCCGTCAAGGCGCCGCTCTGGAGGCAAGAGCGCTTCGGTGCGCTGCATGTGCGCCAGAGGGCGCTCGGGGCCGCTGCCTTCTGTCCGTCCCCATCCCTGGAGGTGTTCAAAGCGTGGCCCATAGAGACACGGCTACTGGTAAGCCCATAGCGTTAGGTTGGGATTGCTGATCTTAAGGGTATTCTCGACCTTCTATGATAAAGGTGACACGAATGTATCATGTTACATATGGGGTGGGCTGCACGTAATACCAGCAAGTGTAGTGGTAGCTTGACTGTGGCAAAAAGATGTCCTCCCTCCCCCTGAGATTCAGTTCCAGCATCCCCCCAGCATCTTTGCCTGCTGGGTTCACCTCCCTGCTCCGGCAGAGTTCATGTGGTGGCAATAAGAAATAAAAAGAGGGTCAGCACAGGGAAGAGGGGACAAGCAGAATGCCAAGCTGATTGGCGTGTTGTTTCCTCTGAAATGTCTCCTTTGTGCATGTGTATCAGTGACATGAGTCAGCTACAAACTAAGCTGCCTATGAAAACTTGACTTTGTTTAATAAAATACACCAGTTTTCAGGCTAGTTATATAGGGTCAGAGTGTGACACCCACTATAAAACAACAGCAAAATGGTTTTAAAAAAACAAACATATGGTTTCTTCAGATAGTTAAAATAATTACTTAGGAAGTTCCAACTCACACAAGCAGAAGAAACTAGGTAGCTTTTTTATTGAAATGTGTATCATTGGATGTGGAGCTCTTTCTTCAGAAAAGAAAACACCTTATTCAGAGCTAAAATTGGTAAATAACATTATTTTACTTCCAGAGCATCAGTTTAAAAAGAGATCTTTAGATCACATCTAAAACAAGAAAGAGAAAAGTTGAAGCCTGTATACCAACACTGAATTAAGCCACCTCAAATGTGAAGCCTGCTCTTCAAGCTGGGAATAGCCAATGAGATACAGGTGCAGGTGCTGCAGCTCTGTTCACTGTGCCACCTTTTCTGTTAGCAGGCAGAGGGAAGGGGTAGCTTAGTGGTGTGGCAGATGCATGCATGGGAAACAGGCGTGGGAAAGACACCTTTGGGTGGAGAAGTGTGAGTGTGTCTTTGTGGAAGAGAGGTGTGGTATATCTTGTTTCAGAGCTGTTTTTTAGGCTGTGCCCTCACTGGAGAAAAAAGGGGCTTTTTTTGTTTTCTTTTTTTTTTTTTTTTTTTTTACTCTGAAAGTTGCTAGCTCCTCATGCTGGAGGTGAGCATGACCTGTAATCAGATTTATGCAAGGGCAATATTTGATGGTACTCTGTACAAAGCCAGCAACTGTGCTCCTCCTGTTGAGGAAAACAATTAAGGTGCATGTTAAAAATATCTCTGAGCTACTAGATTTCTTAATATTTAGAAGCCCTGAGCAGGTACAGGAAATTGCTGTTGAACAGAAGGCTATGGCTTGGAGTACCTGACCTTATGAAGCGTGTTTGATTTTCCATAAAGTGCAGTGAATATGATGGATTTGTAGAGTTCAGGCAGTCATTATGATACGCTTTACAATGGCCATTATTCCCAGGTGATGCTAAAATCTACCCTCCTTTTCCTTTGTGGATGAATTTTCTGCCTGTTTGCACTTTAATAGTGTGCCATAAAACCAAAGATGCCAAATGATCTGAACTGGATAATGCTTCCACCAATGGTATAAGATAGTCTAAAGCTGATGTTTCTTGTTTGTCTGGCATCCACTATTACTCCTAAATTAGTTTAATTTGTTCTGTTTGCTACTGAAATATGAAGGATGAAATTCCACCCTCAAAGAGAGAAGCCAGTTCACTGAAGACAGAAAAGCAAAGAAGAAACTTTATGCGCATCACTGACCATACACTGTAGTACTAGGCTATTGGATAAGCATTTAGGGATGAAGTCATATTTGTTTTGTTTACAACAGCATGGGCTGCCACACTGATTTGCTTTAATTTGCTTTTATAGTCACCTTGAGAACTCCTGAGCAGGAAGTGACAGATAAGCATCATCACTTTCATGAAATCTTTGGCCTCTCCACAGATAGTGCCAACAAGACATTAGAGCCAACTACAGGTTTAAGCTGAGATACTGATGCATCTGCTCTTTGAACAGTTCAGTCGTTACTTATACAAACTTGTAACCACCTCACTTGGATTAACAGTCCATTAACTGCAGCTCTGTGGGTGAACACCAGCCTCACGTTAGAGCAGTGGTGGAGAACGGAGCATTGTGTTCACAGAGAGCTGACCTGCAAAAGCAAATTCCTCACTCTCCTGCCTCTGCTCTGGGCAAAGCTACTTACCTTTACATGGCACTCCTTCCACTCAACCTGCATTGTTCAAGGGTTTGAATTCAGAGCACTCAAGGGGAAAACATTTATATAAAGTGCTGAAAAAATTAAGCCCTAAAGTTGTATAGCAGACATGATGGGTTTTTTGTTTTGTCCGTTTTGTGTTGCAGGTATTTTTTAGCCTATATGTTTTCACACAACTATGCTACCAAGCAATCTCAGTTCAATGAATAAAGGGAGAAGTGATAGTATTGCCAACGTGATCAGGCAAAAATTTTGCTGAAAAATACTTGTTACATGGTTTCAGGGCTGTTTTTTTGTTTTGTTTTGTTTTTTTGTTTGTTTGTTTGTTTTTTCCTACTTCTAACAGTTATAGGCATTTCTAAGGATAAGAATAAGGAGGGAGTTAGAGAGATCCTTTTGGATTAGGAACATAAGGGCATAAGATTGTCTCCCGGTTGTGGAGCTACTCCCAACAGGATGTGGTCAGTGGAAAGTGCACTTCAAGGAACAGTGAGCATGGAGGGCAGACAGGGCTCAGGTACAGACTTGTGCAAGAGTGCGGTGGGAACAAAAGCAGCGCTTTAATTTGGAGCTGTGCGTGGAGAAACATTGCTCTGTAACACAGGTGACCTCTCCCTGTGAATCAGAGGCTGGAGAGGAATCTGAGCTTAGCAAGTCCTTTGCCTGACTTCATTGCCAAGAGCACAGCGCGATTCCCTATACACGGCTCCCAGGAGCATGACCCAGCCGAGGGCTGGATGCTGCTGGGGCGGCTCACACCAGATTCGCCGAGCACCAAGGAGACGTGCGCCAGGCGTTGGTCACCTTTATGTCATTGCACGCTCTCCAAGCTGGGAGGAGCTCGCATGCCCTAAATCGCATCCCACTTCAGGCTGAGGCATCAACTTTACAGGATCTGGACTCCCTCTTACCTAACGCCTTGCTTCAAAGCGCTCACTTACGGACTGCTGCCCCCGAGGGCACCTCGGAAGGCGATGGCAGCGGCGGTACCGCTGCACCCCCGAGCCCTGCAGCCACCCTCCCTCCCCGCGCACCTCTCGGGCCGCCTCCGAGCACCCGGCACCGCCCCCCCCGCAGGCGCGGGGCTATAAGTGAGGGCGGCTCGGAGAGGGGTACAGTGCTGGAGCCATGGGGAATCGTGTCACCCGCGGGGACTTCGAGTGGGTCTATACTGAGCAGCCCCACACGCAGCGCAGGAAGGAGATCCTGGGTACGTCGGGGAGCTGCTCCGCACAGCTCACAGTGCTGCGGGCTGGGCTGGGCGAGGCGCGTATTGCACCTGTGGCTGTGCTTCCTTCGGTTCGCAGCTACTTCTGCATGGACAGCCCGCGTACGTGTTAGAAGGCATATTGGAATCCGTTTTTTTCTGTAGCTATTTATCTCTTCTCCTGTATGATGATGTACGAACCTCTCCTACACAATGGCTTGTGATCTATATGAGCCTCATAAGTTTCTTTTAAGCTGCTTTCACAATTTCCACTTTCCAGCTCAGTTTGGTGCATTACTTCAATTTACTCGAGTTCAACAGAGGGGCTTCTACTACATGCAATTTTTCCCCCCTCCCTCAGCAGAACTGTAAAATAAATGGGGGGAGTGGTGGGTGTTTGCTGGAGAACAGCAAGAAGCGCTGCTGCTAGCACAGCTGTACTGCCTGTATTTTTACTGTGTACATGTAGCATTTAATTGCATACAAACACATGGGGTTGGGGAAGCTTTCACTTTTGGGGAGTTGGGAAGTTTAGGATTTTCTGAACGAGCAATAATTCAGAACTGTTACAGAATATAGTTGCATATTTCTTAAAATATGCTCCAACACTTAATCAATAAAGGAGATTTTGCCTGGTTTTTCCTTCTACCTAATCAGTAGGATGAAGTTTTTAAGTTTCCTTTTTATGAAGGAAGAAGCTGGGGCTGTGGTAATCAGGTGCAGCTCCTCCACTCCTCCATGCTCCCACAGTTTAATGTAGGATTACTCTGAATTACAAAAACATTTCCGGCATAGTTATGATGGCAGAATATCCTGCTCCATATTAAGTTATATCTGGGAAAATAATAATTGTTTTTCTCTGTAGTAATGATAGAGAGGCAAATGATGTCATTATATAAAATAAAGCCTCTGGCTGTTGCGCTGCTAATTCTTATAGTTATGAGAACTCTGGGTGAGCTTTGAGCAGGAAGCATGTGCTGTAGGTCTCTCCCTTTGCTGACCTTCCACTCTCCTAGTGCTGCTGTGGCACTGGGAAATGGAGACCCAGAGAAGCTGGACAGAACAGTCTGCATCTGACAGGGCAGAAGGGTCATGAGTTCTGAAATGTTGCCAGAAGTTGCTGTTGAAATTACCTTGCTATCCCACATGCTATTGGTATAAATCACTGCAACCGTGTTGCTCAAAGCATGAAGGTCAATAGCTCCCAGTACCTAGTGTCCTTACCAAAGGTCTGGTGTCTGTTGGGTGGAGCTCTTCTCTTAAATCTCACATGCATATGAATGTGTACCTAGAAATACCCATGTGATTTACATTTTTGTATATAGCATTGCTTTAGGGTCAGAAGCATTCTTTGCTGATAAAGGAAGTACTTTCCTCCCTGTAGGTTAATGATTTAGTAGTTAAGCACCAAAGCTTGATTATTTTCTGTTGAGGTTGTAAGTTTTGGAAATGTTAATTCCCTCAGGTATGGCTACTTGATTTAAACGCAAATTAAAAATGATCTAATTAGAAAAAATGTATAGGCAGACTGACAAACTCATCAGGCAATTTCCCTTTACAGAAGTGGTATTTTCTTACCCTGGTCTTCCAGCATGTTTCTATAGAGAAGCTGAGTTTCATGTCCTGGTTCAACTGTTAGCAGCCCCAGTGCGTCTATGACTTTGTTGGTAATGATAGAGATATTTTTTATCATTCGAAGATGAGTTTCGAGTTCCAGTCTTTCAAGATTTCTGGTTGCAGCAGTTACACTGATTCCTAGACAGCAGCCCCAGCAGATATAACCCAGGGTTTTGTCTCTGAGGTAGATGGTTATCCATCGAGCAGATCAGCTGTGTACTGCAACTGGACTGGCTAGAAGCTAGCTTACAGCAGGACAATTGCAACAGATGAGTCTACAAGGGTTGCAGTTCCTAACTGTTACAATTATGCTAGCAAATAGACTGACATGTTGCACAAAGGAGAGGTAGTACTTTTTCTCTTTGTAGTATCTACCTCTAAGACTCCAGCTTGTACTGCATAGCTACCAGCTGCTTCTTAAGATACTAAGGAACTCTCTTTTCCAAGCTGATACTTCAACCTTCATCTTAAGCTCACATAAAACTGAAAAATGCAGACAAAGTTAATTAAACCAAATCATTTCATTGCTTCCTTCTCACCCTCCTGTTTGTGAAAAGCCTGTTTCTGTCATGTACCAGAACTGAGATTGGGGTGTACTGCTGTGGTGAACTGTATCTGGAAAATAACTAGCTAAAACTAACCTGATGGAAGAAAGCCTCATATCTGCCTCGCCTAGCTATATAGTTATGCAAGTGCTATTAGAGGGAGTGACCGGGTAGAAAGTAAAAAGAATATGGACTTTTAGTAGAATTAAGAAGTCTACTTCATTGTAGGTAAGGACCTGCTAGATTGAAGCACATGTAGTGCTTATGTAAGATCACAGTACTGTTGAAGATTGAGTTTTGTGGGTTTTTCCTCAAAAAAAAAAATAAATCAGAATTATTACCAACATCTGAGCAACACCATAAGCATACAGTGAGCAGTCACTTCATCTGCAAACAGTCTTCTAAATGCAAGCAATGAGTAATATATTGTGGAATGAAAAGAATGAGGTCTTATTTGATCCAACCCACAGCACAAACTTCATAAAATTGCTTCAGGTTGGTCAGAAAAATGTCTTGTCTCAGGATCCTTTGAGAAGCATTTGTTTTCTTCCAAGGATGAGGGCTGAATCATTGTTCCTCATGGTAGGATAGGAGCAACCAATTAAGATCTGATGTCTAAGCACAGCTACATATTTGGCTATTCAGCAAGTTATTTGGTAGGGAGATGGCGCAGGTGTTTCATATGTACTTAATACTGTAGGAAGACCGAGATGTTAATTTATCAGCAGTAGAGTGAGGAAACTCAAAATGAAAATGCCTGAATCCATTTTATTTTTGCATTTAGGCAATTTGGAAATATCATCGTTTTCAGCCAAGAGGAAAGTTACTCATTTATTTAGAGATTAGTATTTCTTACAGTTGACTCTTATATTGCCTATTTAAACTGCATACTTAGGAAAAGTCTGATGAACTGTACCTACTAGAACATGAAAGATACATATCTCAATATATCAAAGCTCTGAATTGCTTATGCTTCTGGCAACGAAACAAGGAGCCTGTTTCCCCTTTATTTTGCAGTATGTGGGCACAGCACTGCCACTGATGTGCAAGTTCCCCAAACAGTGCATTCAGAGCAGCTGCTGTCTCAGTGCTCACGCCAATTCCCTTTGGGGATCGTATGTAATATAAATCACATGAGTAGAAAGTCAGTGTTGTAGGTTCTCCTGATCTTCTGCTGACAATGTATTAAGTGCAACTGAAGATTTCAGCATACTCTATGTTCCTAGTGTTCCTCTATGTTGCATGAGTTTGTAAGAGAAAGTTGGAAGCACTCTTTTAGCTGTCGTATATCCTTTAACTTCTAACTAACTACTAAACAAGCACAAACAGATCATAGCTGCTGTAGTAATGATGCTGATACTGTTTCAGTTATGACCACCATGCAGCGCTTTGCATATGGTGAACAACACTGGGTGACCCAGCAACCTTGAACCTCGCAGCACAAAGCCACCTAGGAACTCATAGGTGATAGAAGGTTAAGGCTCTATTGCATAATGGAAATGTAAAACCTCTTTGTAATGAACTGGGTCATAAAGATTTATTATCAGTTTGCATACTGAAGGGGACAGAGAAAGCAGATTTTTTTTTTTTATGCCATCCTCTGCATGTGTCCTACCAGTGCCCTGGTACATGTATGGTTTGAATGCAGAACCACATCAGATGTGCAGTGCCCTTTGCAAGTATGTTCACAAGCTAAGCTACTGAAAAGCAAAATACTGTGACATCAGCAAACTGACTTGCTTATTTCTGGTACAAATATCAGCCTCAGTGTAAGGCAGAGCCAACATCCCAAGCCAACATCTTATTTGATCTGCCACAGGCTCATGGAAATAGAGCATAGTCTAGGACAGAAGCATCATAACTGCTGATTTGTTGTTTTTCCCCCTCCCCCCTTTAATTGGTCCTTGGAAGCAGTGAAATTACTTCTGATAAGTTCTTTGTGATACTAGAAAAAAGCGTAATTAAGAATATCAGTAATCACATATAGAGGAAAATGTTGACTCACCTGACTGGAGATAGGGTCACTAGCTACAGAGCACTCTATCTCAGGAAGCAGCCTTCATCCACAAGACATTCTTTTTTCAGAGGCTCGCCCTTAAATGAGCTGAGGGAGACCCTGGGTCCCCTCCTTCCAGTCATGTGGAAAGCACAGGTGAATCTCTTGCACCTGTGCTTCCTGGGCCAGCTACCCTCTTCATCAGGTGCTCAATCATCAGCTCAGGCTGTGACTTAACATTTTCCATACACCCTCTTTTTAACAGACCTTCTAAAAATGTTATGCTGAGTTGCGTGCTAACTTTGGCTATTCCTGCTGTGTTGAAATAAAAGATGAAAATAATTTCTTTCTCTTGCTACTACTAGCTTCTCATGGATATGGGCACTGCTGCTCCTCTATGTTTCTGAACAGCTCCATCTCCTGCCCATGTCTAGGTCTGGTGTCTACCAAACTGTGCTAAAGAATCAGTGAGATATTCTGTTGCCCTTGCTGAAGTCTATCTGTGTCTCAGCCACTGTTCTTCCATCCATACTGCTGCACAAGTGGAAGTGCTGTTTTTTTTCAACTCCCTCCTGGAGATTTCTGTTACTCTGAGATTATGGCATGCAGATAGTGGAGCTGGTTGGACTGGGCAGTATTATTATCTACAGCTAAATGCTGTACCAAAGTACTGGCACTTCTTTTTCACCACGTGCTGACTTCGGAGAGGGAAGTCATGTTTGTGCACTGCTGTACATCTGCACCAGTACCCCTGCCCTCTTTGTGGCAATCTGTTGGCTCCTCCTGGACAACTGGAAGTAATACATGCGTGCTTTTGTTTCAGCTGGGACTGAATTGTTTTCTTCAGAGTGTCTGCTATGTCTTGGTTCTAAGAGAAAAACAATGTTGATAACAGACCGATGTTTGTAGTTGCTGCGAAGCAGTATTGTACAGTCAAGGCCATTCATGGCAAAGAGCTCAAGGAGCTGGGAGGGAACAGAATTAGAACAGCTGACTTAAACTGTCAAAGGGATATTCCATGTTATATAACATCAAGCAGAATGAGTTTTGAAGGGGATGGGAATTCATCTCTCTCTCTTTTGTTACTCAGGGGCAGCTGGGCATTAGTTGAGTGGTGGTGAGCAATTGCTTGTGCATCACTTGTTATATATATTTGTATGCATATGTCATAATTATTATCCTTTTCCTTTTCTCTATCTTAGTAAATAGCTTTATCTCAACCCATGAGTTCTACTTTGTGAGAATGACTATGTGGTCCTCAGCCACCTGCCTGGTTAAGCTACAACAATGCAAATAACCTGTCTGCTGAATGAGCTAACAGACCTTCCCAGCAAGCTGGAGCTGGATCCTATGCTGGAGAGACATGAGAGTAGCTGGGACCATCTTTGTCCCATTGTACTCTAAAGGGTGAATCCATGTCCCGTGTGATCACATAAATTTGTGTGCTTTGTTCTTTTTTCTTTTATCTAGAATGGCTGAATACTTGTTTGCTTTTCTCATATTACTGTTCTCCCTCTATGCTGTGATCACAGATAATTAACAGCTCACTATAAGTTACATTTTATGGTCATGTATTAGCACTGACTCGGTGCTTGTTGGGAAAGGGATGGACTCTGACCTTATGGAAGCCAGCCATATTAGTAATGGACAAGTGTTCAGGAAGGGGAAAACAAGTGATTTGGAAAAGAGAAGCATGATACAAATCTCTGCTCAGATGCATCTTAGTGTGAAAATCTAGCAGGCTCAAGAGGGAGAAGAAGTGTCTTTTTACTTCCAAAAGTACTATGCAGAGGAAATGAAAGCGATCTTTACAGTGTAGCTGTACAGATTTTGAATTCCTTGAAGGCTTGTGGGGCAGCTCTGCACAAAGGCCCAATATCTGATTCTGTTGCTTTTGGCATGTGCAGATTGCTGACAGCTAATGCCTGTCTTGCACAGACCAGCTGGTCATCTGCAGACACTTGTCACAGAAGGCTGTCCCCATTATTCAATTGTAAATGCTATATCTTGACTTCCTTCAACTCCTTCATCTAAATTCAAGGCATGAAGATGAGTGAAAAATGAGAAATAATAATACTTAGGTTGCCACATCTGCACACATAATCACTATTTATTACTGCCGTCATCAGGATCACTTCATCCAAGCTTAGACATATCTCACTGAAGAGAGCATTGCTTCAAGTTTTGGAGGGTCAGCAAGTAACATTTTGCATTTACAATACTCCTGATGTGAAAGCTTCTCTGCAGACTACCCCAGTAGTGGGGCTTCAGCCTGCAATACTTTCAGTTCCACCTGTCAGCCTCCCCAGGGCTTCACCTTTACAGAACGAGGAAGTGGTTATCAGCATTAATGATAAACAGACAGTGTTTTGGCTTAACTATTACACAAATGTACTGTTGGATAGAAGTTAATCATGTGTTGAATTCAATATTGAACCCTAGCACTACTTCATAGTTATTATCTGTGATAAATGCAACCCACGTGCAGTGCTGCTTGCAGACCGTGCTACTGGTGGTTAGAAGTTGCTGCTTTGAATCTCTCATAAGAGATTATAAACTACAATCCTCCTTAACTGCAGCAATAGAAAATTGGCACAAAACTTTCAGTGCTCTCTAACTAAAACGTACAGCATAGCTAAGTGGATATCCTGGCACTCTGTGTTAAAATTTGGTACCTATCTAGGTATCAGGGAATGAGTTGCAGCATATTAGCATTTCTAGTGTGAAAAAGTATAATTTCTAAAGTTACAAAAACTTGGACTACTTAGAGGTTTTTATTAAAAACTTAGGCTGACTTCAGAACAATGTGAACTCATATTAGTTCTTTCCCACTGAGTAGTCCTAATGAAGATTTTGCCCCGTTGTCTGAACAAGGGGAAGAATCGAGAATATCCCTTTTCTCATCATCATCCACAGTACTTAATCTTCATCGTCTCTGGCCTCTGTCAAGCTAAGCTACAGGTGATCAACAGGCTGAAAATTGCTGGAATATTTATTTGCAGAGCATGACCACATCAACCTGCTTCCTTAAGTAGTGCTGTATCTCTCTGAACTACTGCAGGTTTCTCAAGGTTCATTCCTATAAAAATCCTCCACTCGGTGCCTGGCACTACTTTGCAAGGTCACATGAAGCGTATCATCTCCAGTGCTTGTTTGTAGTATATACAGCTGCGCAGATGCAAGTTGTCATAGCCTTAAATGGTATAACAATGGCATTGGTATTGGTGCAATAGTCAGATGAAAATTAGTTTTCTTTTCACAAACTATACCTGTAAAACTTGTAGAGACACACTGTATAACTTCAAACTCATAATGAGTGACTTGTCCTACAGTCTTATTTATGAAAGCTGTTAATTACTGAGAATTGCAGAATATGAATAAAAGAAGAGAGGTCCGTGGGTGGATAAAACTGGAAAAACAAACGTGAGAGTTAATACTGAAAGTTAGAGGTGGGATATTTATGAAGAGACCTGAAGTAATGAACAGTTCCTAGAAGATAAGCAGGGGTCTGTCTTGGGAGCGGTGCTCTTTAACATCTTTATCAATGATGGAATCAAGTGCACCCTCAGCAAGTTTGCTGATGACACCAAGCTGAGTGGTGCAGTTGACACAGTTGAAGGAAAGGATGCCATTCAGAGGGACGTTGAGAGGCTAAAAAGGTGGGCCTGGGTGAATCTGATGAGGTTCAACATGGCAAAGTGCAGAGTTTTGCACTTGGACTGGAGGAATCTCAGGCATCCATGGAGATTGGAAGGAGCAGTCCTTGAAAGCAGCCCTGTGGAGAAGGACTTGGGGGTCCTGATAGATGAAAAAAACACGAGCCAGCAGTGTGCCCTTGCATCTCGGAAGGCAAATGGAATCCTGGGCTCCACCAGAAGAGGGGTGGCCAGCAGGGACAGGGAGGTGATTGTCTCTACTCTGCTCTTGTGAGGCCCCGTATGGAGTACTGCATCCAAGTGTGGGGCCCCCAGTACAAAAAAGACAGGGAGCTGTTGGAGAGGGTCCAGAGGAGAGCCACAAAGATGATCAGGGGACTGGAGCACCTCCCCTATGAAGACAGGCTGAGGGAGCTGGGCTTGTTCTACCTGGAGAAAAGAGGGCTGCGGGGCGACCTCATTTCAATACCTAAAGGGAGCCTACAGAGGGGAGGGGAATCAACTCTTTGAAAGGGTTGATAACTGCAGGATGAGGGGAATGGGTTTTAAGTTGAAGGAGGGAAGATTTAGGTTGGATGTCAGGGGGAAATTCTTTACAGAGTGAGTGGTGAGGTGCTGGAACAGTTGCCCAGAGAGGTTGTGGATGCCCTGTCCCTGGAGGTGTTCAAGGCCAGATTGGATGGGGCCCTGGGCAGCCTGGTCTAGTATTAAATGGGGAGGTTGGTGGCCCTGCATGTGCCAAGAGGGTTGGAAATTCATGATCTTTGAGGTCCCTTCCAACCCTGACCGTTCTGTGATTTTGTGATTCTGTGAATCTATACTGTGAAAAGCTGTTGTGGGATTGCCTATGTGAGTTTCCTGCCTACTTCTGGGATTTGACTTGAGAACAGGCTCATTGGCTTGAAGACAGGCTCTCAGCAGAATGGGAACAACAAGTTACGTATCTTACAGATTCCCAATAATATTATTTACTTTCTAGTGATGTTAGTACTTGTAAAGACATGTGCATGTTGTAAGCACTGGCAAACACTCAAATACTTGCTTTTTTCTCAGTGCTGCAGTTGTCATTTAACCACACAGTAAAACCAGGCGAGCCTGTTGCATGGTCTTCCTCTGCTGGTATGTCTCAAACCAAAGAATGGAAAGGATTACAAAGAAGGCATCTGTATTTCTTTCCTGTTGAAAATAGTATCTGGACTAAGCAAAAAGAAAGGGAAGTGAAAAAATGTCTTAAATCTGATGGTCACTGGTGTATTAATACTCATCCTTTTGAAGATAAATGGGGCCACATGTTGACCATAGAGGTCATCATATGCACACACATGTATATTGGACACAATGCCAGAAATGGGAACAAAGCCCATACGTTGGTGAAGCCTTTTTGGTAGTGGCTTTGAAATTTCCATTTCGTAAGACTAGGGCCTCAAAAATAAGATGATTAAAAAATAAAGAGCACCAGCAGTGGTCATGTTTACCTTTTTGTGAGTCAATGAGATTTTCTTTGCATTTTTTCCCTTTAGCAAAATATCCAAGGATCAAGGCTCTGATGGGACCAGATCCACATTTGAAATGGATTGTATCTGGAATGGTTTTCACGCAGTTGCTAGCATGCTATCTGGTGAAAGACTTGTCTTGGAAATGGATTTTCTTCTGGGCTTATGCTTTTGGGGGTTGCATCAACCATTCATTGACCCTAGCCATCCATGATATTTCACACAACGTCGCCTTTGGGAACAAGCAGGCCAAGTGGAACCGATGGTTTGCAGTCTTTGCCAACTTGCCGGTTGGTGTCCCTTACTCTGCTTCCTTCAAGAAATACCACATAGACCACCATCGGTACCTTGGTGGGGACAGCCTGGATGTGGACATTCCCACGGATTTTGAAGGCTGGTTCTTCTGCACACCGCTTCGGAAACTGCTTTGGCTCTTTCTCCAACCTCTATTCTACAGTCTGAGACCGCTGTATGTGAACCCCAAAGCAATTACACAGATGGAAATTTTTAATGCCCTTGCGCAGTTTTCTGTGGATTTTATTATTTTCTACCTTTGGGGACTCAAACCTATTATTTACTTAATAGCAGGTTCAATTCTTTGCATGGGCTTACATCCCATATCTGGGCACTTCATAGCGGAACACTACATGTTCTTAAAAGGATATGAGACGTACTCTTATTATGGACCTCTGAACTGGCTCACCTTTAATGTAGGCTATCACATGGAGCACCATGATTTCCCCAGTATTCCCGGAAGCAAGTTGCCAATGGTAAGTACATCATAATCTCAAGTGAACTGGTAGTTTTGTTTTGTTTTTTTTTTTACATTATGTGATTCTTTAGCAATAGTCTGAATTTCTCTACTTCCCTCTTCTATCTGTTTTTGACTCGTCAAAGTGTAAAGGACTGACAGGAGGAAACCACTACTTGAAACTTGTCTAATGGTCAATCTATATATTAATTATATTGCTTAATTAAGATCAAACAAAAATCTTTCTATTTTTTGAGATGACATAAGTACTGCAACATGTTCTAACTTGCTACAAATAGCAGTAGAAAATAAATTCCTGCTCTCCGTGACTTGTTTTAGCTCTGCTGCCCCACCCACTGAAACTGAGGCTGCCTGGCCTGTCATTGGGAAAATGTGGCTTTACTCTTCTAAAATCAAATCTTTTTTTGTTTACGTTTTATCAGTTGTGGGAATCAAACTTTCAAAGCCCAGGTGTCTAGGAATGGTTTTGAATCCACTGCCAGCTGTGTAGTTGCTCTTCTGGATTTTGATACGAGATTTCCTCAGCAGCTGTGCTCACAGTGCCAAAAGGATGTGACTACAGTGCATTACTCCTACACCTAAATCCTCTGGCATGGTTGGGAGGAAACACTGTCTGTTGGAAGCTATTGCTGGAACTTCCTTGTGAGGAGGAGGCAGGGCTGAAATTATAGTGCTGTGACCTCCACACTACTGCATGACTCAACTTCTATGATGGTGTATCCAGGAAAATTAAATTTGGGAACCCCATTTTATGAATTGATGTTAGAGTTATAGAATCATAAGGGTTGGAAAAGACCACTAAGACTGTCTAGTCCAAACACTGATTCATCAATAACCCATTTTCTTAATCACAAAAACATTGAGAGGAGATTTGAAACAAGATAGAAGAGTGCAGAAAGCATGTATACCAAATGAGTGTGTATATAGATATTTATTTATTTCTTTATTTTTAGTTCTTCCCCTCTCCCCCCCCTACTGCTGGAGCTGGAGCTCTCTCCTGAAGAAGTTGACTGTTCTTGATGGGTTTCAGCATTCACATGTGATGTTCTCCAACTCCTCTTCCTCTTCTATCTCAGCTAGAAAGTGGGCTTAGCTTTAGCTTGAAATGTTCAAACTTGTTAGATAGGCTTAGATACTTAGCTTACTGAAACGTAAATACAAAAGCAGGAGGTTAGCTCTCTTATCTCAGACAAAGGAGGCAAGTGACGAATTGAACTTGCTTGGATTGTTGCTCCAGATCTGAATGAAACCTGAAAAGCTTTTCCCCACCCACATCACAAATAGTTTAGCTTGACTCCTCAAGGCAGTGAGCAGATGGAAGTGTCTGCACTCCTCTGTAAAGAGGATAGAGTTATAAGCTGAATTTTATGAACTTGTCTTCATCTGTTTCTAGCTTTAGGGCACCTGAGACTTGCCCTGCTGGTAGAGGAGGTACCAGGTTTGTCATTCACTGTTACGTGATAGAACAACATGGAAAATATTGAGTCACTGGCAAATGAACAAGTGAAAAATCTACTACGAGGTGGAATTTCTTTGTAAAAACAGCTACTGCAGAAAATAGTGTCTTCCTTGAAACAACTTGGCTGTTCTTCTCTGCAGATTGAGACAAAAAGTTCTTTGGAAGGGGAGGGTACAGGCTCTCTGGACAGCTGTAATGTTTGAACTTAATGACAAATAGGGGTAGAAACCTCCCTTTCTTTCTCCTGTTTACCTGCCCAGCAGATTCTTCACTCAGTAACTCTGTTGTCTCTTTAGCACTCAAACTTTTAATAGTTTAACTGTATTTAGTTTCAAATATTGGCAAATTTCAGTTGGGAAAAAGGTCCTTTCTTTGTTCTTGCATGAGTGAATGGAGAAGAGAATTAAGATCAGAAAATATTTTAAGTTTGGAAACTAACTGAGTCTTCCATTTGCTTATCAGAAGAGTGAATTTTGTCCTTTATTACGGGTGTTTCATCCAGTATGTGCTTTCTGAGTAATATGTTTGCCACTGGAAAGACCTTTACCCTACGACTGCGGCACATTTGAAAGAGGAAGAATTAAACTGTGCCATAAGCTTACAGAGTTTGCAAATGAGTGACATGAGTGCACAGTAAGAACTCGTCCCACTGGTATAATGAGAGATTACACAAGAGAGATTTTAACATTATAATGAATTGTAACATTATAATTTAACATTATAATGAAGGACTTGCTCTAAAAGCTATGGCCATAGACTTATGACTAGGTTAGCCTTTCAGTGAAGCTTTAAAACAACAAAATATTGTGTTACTTACCAAAGGAATAAGAAGATTGATTCTTCATTATCTGAAGAATTGAATATACTTTTGATGAGAGGGAACACAGAATAAGGAGGAACTTGGTGCTCTTCCTATAAGCTGCAGTAAAAACTGTAACATTACCAGAGGCAAACTAGTTATTCATTAAGCTTGTGAAAGACATGGCATGAAACGAGATTTTATTAGATAGACAAGACTGGGAAACACGGTAGATGTACTTCATTTGAATTGCAGATTTCCTTAACGCTGTGATGGCCAGGAAGGCTAGCTTGAGTTCTTCCTCCTTCCCCTACAGTCAAGAGTACAGAAGAAACTTTTGTACTTTGCTTTCTAGCATTCTACACCTCATTTTTCATCTTATCATAGGGGCCTCTAGCTTCTGTTTTGCCCCAGGAGAAAGTCTCTAGCACCTGTGTTGTAATGCCACTAGACTGCTACTGTGCTGCTACTGTGGAGTAAGATGGGTGACAAGAAGCAAAATTTGAACCCAAAAGATGTGATTTATTATCTACTATCTTGATCTAATTGAAGAAAAGCATCCATATACTACACGCATGGCACTTGTTAAACTTATTACAGAATTTAATCTTGGGTTATCCTTTCGTAATTTCCATTCAAAAACTATCGAACGCTTCCAAGTTGAGATCTGTAAGGAGGGAGGGAGGAACTGAAGCAAATGGACCCTTTCCAATGCAATATGGAGAGCTTGGAATGAGGGAGCCAAGGGCAGGATCAAAAAATACTGCGTTACAATACAGTTCTTTCTGATATGTTGGCAACACTGTTTGCAAAAATTGCTACCTGTAAAAAATGCCATCCGCGGGTTTTGTTCTGCAACCAGAATGGAACGTGGAGGATGACTTTTCCAGTCTGAAGTACACTTAACGGATGTATAGTAACATCACACTTAAAAAGGAATCAGCACATTTAAAAAAAGAAATCCTGACCAGCTGTGTGGACAGTAAAGAGGAGGCCATTTTGTTTTGCACACAGGGATTCTGAGACAAATAGCAATAGGCTGTTTTTGTGTATATTCATGGGAGAAGATAAATTTGTTCACTTGTTTTTTCTCTCCCATGCGATGGCAGAATGGAAAGAGGCACCAAACAGACTTCCACATCCTTTCCATTAGAAAATCCTTCAAGATGTCACCTCTCTAATTGTATTCACTAAACTTTCCCACCACACCATTATTTTGTCAGAAACATTTTGTAATGGTTTCTCTTCTCTCCCTGATTTGTATACACTTGTATAACCTGTATACACCTGTGCAGTTTTCTTGCCTGGAGTGCAGAGAACTTGCAGAAGGTGCACATCCTGCCAGCCGTCCTGCACCAAATGCTGTTGAGCACAAAGGCAAGCAGGAGCAAAAAGCCACTGCCCCAAGACGATCCAGGGTAACCTGCTCCAGAGCAAGACCTTGGCCATCTCCTATGGTTTCCACACTAAGGTTTTATTCAAAATGAGATGCCACCAGACCCTGCAGGGAAGTGCTAAATCGACATGCTTAGTGAGCAAGCAACTCCTCCATCACTTGGCCTCAGCAGTGACATTCACTCACCCAGGGAGCACACTGTCCAAACAGTCCTTCCTCATCATCAGTTTCACTTACTCACATTAAATTATTAGTGACTGTGGTCACAGGAGCTGAGCAGGGATCTAAATCTGCTTTTCCAGAGATCTTACCCAGTGCCTGGACATTATCCTTCTTGTATCCTTCATGTAGCCTCCCAGTCGGCAATTTCTGCACAACATCAGAGTTTCACTGAAGGTCTTCACTGTCTTCCTCACAACTGGCTTTTAGACTCTGCAGTGTTTTTAAAAGGACAAATCATGCTGCTCAGCTGCTCTGGTACAGAGCCTTGTTTGTCTAGGAGGTGGAGTTTTAATAAAACAATGCCCAGCTATTTTTTTGTGAAATGTACAGTACCAGCTGCTCTCCTAAATGTGTTTCAAAAAAGCAGAGCATTTGGCTGGAACACTGACAACTCAGGAATTCTCACAGCCCTTTGAGACTGTCAGGCATGAAACCTCCTCATCCTACAAACATCCCAACAGCACACAGTGCTTCTGTGATGGCAGCAGTTGTAAAACTTGGAGATTTGTAACAGGAATAAAATTGTGTCAGACTGATAAATCTACTGATGAACCTTGAGGCATTTCTTGCAATGGACAGAGGAGGAGAGACAACGCCGGGATCTCCTCTGCCTGGAGAAGGAAGTCAGATTTGTATCAAGGGAGTGGAATGGAGGAAAGACTAGGAAGCACAGCCCAGGCTGTGTCTTCAGCATTTTCTCAATTGCTGTTTCTCCCCTACCCGGAACTCTCTGCAAACAAGTATTACAAGTTGCAAACATCACTTTAAATACAGCGTGTTGGAGTTCTGGCAGTTTATGAGGTGGATTAGTCATCTTGTTATGGAAATCCTCCACCTCCCAAGAGAGAGAGATTTGGTTCTCACTGAAGACAGAGATCCATCATCCGTTAAATCCTAACACTGTCAGGCAAAACTTGTGTAATAAATCTGCTAAGTATCTAAATGTTCTTAAGTCTATCTAGTTCGACTGAGCTTCAGAAACCTCACAAGCAACAAGTAACTTCAGTTAATGGCAGTGCCATCATATCTAAAAAATAAAACCAAAGTGCACTTGACACCATGCAGCTAAATAGCTCATTCTCTCTTTTGTTCTTCCAGGTGAAGAAGATTGCTGCAGAATACTATGACAACCTCCCCTACCACCAGTCCTGGATTAGAGTCCTGTGGGACTTTGTATTTGATGACAGTATTGGTCCTTACTCAAGGGTTAAGAGAAAATGCAAACTGGCAAAAGAAAGCTAACAGAGCAGCTCCAGCTGCTGCAGTAGCATTTTGTTTGTTTGAATGGTTTGAGTGCTCTGCAGAAGAAGGATGCTTTGCATGTGCTTGATGTAGCATTGCTACGCGCTCTTGGGACGAAGAGGATGAGTGTCTGCACTATTTAAAATACTGATACTTTTTAATAAGGGATATTTTATGTAACCTTAAAAAACTAGATGAGAGCAAGCTACACTCGCATGAATCTTGGTCTAGACTTAGAATTAACTTCCTGGGACATGTGCGTCCAATTTGGAGTTTTGGCCTGGTCTGCAATGAAGAATATTTGGTCCATGAATGGGCGTGCTTGTGTTTAGGTTAGGACTGGTTTCTCTTCATGCCAAGCTAGATGTAGATGCTTTGCATGCATCAGACTGTGGAAGCAGGGATGACTGGCATGCAGTAGCAAATGATACTTTCTAGAGAGCACAAGGGTGCCCTCAACTCAAAGCATTGCCTAAATATCTTGTGCCTGACAATAGCTGCTTGCAGTGATTTTGTATGTGAAATGGAATACATGTGTTTTTTTTTTTGTTTTTTTTTTTTTTTAATATCTGAATCAATATTTTATTAGCTGCTGTTTGACCTCTATTTCAGGGCTTTTCCTAAACCTTTTCTGAGCCATCTCTATTCTTAGTATTTGATGTTCAGTGTAACTTATTGACAGAGTTGAATTGAGATGTGGAAAAACCCTTTCTTTCTTTAATCTTCTGCTCACTGACCAGCAATGTGGCATACTGCAGCTCGTGTTGTGAGAAATGGCTAATCCTTTTCCACTCATCCTTTCAACAGTACTCAGAATTTCATTTTTCCTCATACCTTTCACTACTAGAAGCCCCTCTGGGAGTGGAAGGGTTCTAGTTTAAATTGCTCCTTATAAGGGCTTTTACTATTCCTGATCACCTATCATGGTCTTCTGTGTATTGTACCATTTCTGTGGATAGGAGTCGCTATCACTGAAGACACTGGAGATTTTATGGTGACATTTGTTCCTAATCACTTTCAGTACAGTTCTAACTTTTTCTGTGATTCAATGGGAACTGACTCAGCAATCAGGAAGCATGTGTTATTCTAGCTATAAAAACCATCCCTGCATGCAGTATATTGCACTATTGACATTGACCTAGATCTGCCATTTCTAGCCCTTGGAATAATTCCATCTTCCTGCCTCTCTTCTCCAACCACCAGCTTCTGGATACCCTCAATAACAGTATTTCATCAAAAAAAACCTTAGTCACCATACCTTTCTCCATGCAGAAAATACTGAAAAATTTCTTGGGAGTTAGGAGCTGATATGTCATCTAACAACTCCCCTGCACTCTGGAAAGCTGACCACTTATATCTGTCCTTACTAAGTGGACAAAAGAGAACAGATCTACAAAGGTTCTCTTAAAAACTGAGAGTTTAATCCCTCCAGTGGTTTTGACTTTTTGTTTTCTTCTAGAAATCCATGTATGTTACAAATATGGAATAATAATTCCCTATATGTTGAGCTCTTAAAGACCATTACTGGACCTGGCATGCCCGATTCCCTCAATAAACACAGTTTCGTTCTTATCTCCTACAGCACTGCATCCAGTGAGTCGTATTGGTATGACTTTTTGGCAGTTTGTCTCAGTCCTGCTGCACTTCATGATCAGATATTCAACTTCCAGTGTCCTTAGCAAGCTGTTTCACAACTCTCAGCCAATTTAGTAAGAAAACATAAGAAGAATATTAAAGATTATTGTGTTCCTCATTCTGTGTTATTCCTCTGTAGAGAATGACTTTTCTCTAGCTCCCTTAGCTGCTCTACAGTATCATTAACCTACTTGATCCATATGTTAATAGCCAAGCCTGATACAGAAGCTACACTATAAACTGAAGGTAACAAAAGTTGTTGACTGTGTCTCACCTGCACAGCAGCTGTGTTCCCACTCTGCTTTGTCACGGTCCTCCCATTCTGCAGAGGGACTTGAAGGTGCTGGAAGTCCTGATATCTACTGTGCTCTCAAGTAGCAAAGTACCAGTTTAAGAGGGTCACTGGTCTCCTGGTGAGGTTGATCACAGCTGTTCTCTACCCTTAACACCTAACAGGTAGCCTCAGAACTTCAGTGATCTGGGATGGATTTATAGTGCTGCCTAAAGCACCTGGAGATGGGACCAGGTGTTATTGCTTCTACCAGCTAAGCCCCCCTGTCCATCCTGTGCACCTTGGGACTCTGCTCCCATTAAATGGCCCTGAACAAACTTCAGTTGATTGTCTTAATGACAGGAGGTGTCACCATAGGACCACGCTGTATCCAGGCTGCACTCAACCTGGTGACAGTGTGGTTATCGCTGACTGTAGGTGCCACACTCCAAGGTGAAACATGAACTGAGCTGGGGCCCAACTTTTTCAAGCTTAATATTTTTTAATCTTTGTCAAGATTAATAGAGACTTTCACAGAATGGCTGTGACTATCTGTGAGGCAGAAGTTTAGAAAAGCGCTTGCTGTTGTCAGGTATGCCATCAAATAGCAGAGGACAAGGGGTAAAGGCCTTACATTGCACCAGGGAATGTTCCAGTTGAGTATTAGGAAAAGTTTCTTCTCACAAAGAGCAGTACTGCATTGGCACAGGCTGCCCTGGGAGGTTGGGGGGTCACTGTCCCTGCAGATGTACAAGAAGTGTGGAGGTGTGGCACTGAGATGTATTGTTGGTGGGCATGGTTGGGTGGGTTGATGGTTGGACTAAATGATTTTAGAGGTCTTTTAATTATTCCATGAAATGGTTTTATAATTAAGAAACACATGAGCTATTGTATATTTATACAGCAGACTATAATAAACTTTAGTGATGTTTGGCTGAGTTCTTCCTCCCAGAAAGGCTCTTTCTCCTGGTCTTGGAGCTGTAGTGTTGTGTTTCACATCCATGCCTTTCTGCTTTAGTTCCCACATGAACATCTTATCCTGCTGTCTATCTTTCTCTAGCCAGGTGGGAAGCCAGCACTAAACAGCTAGCAGATGTCAGGCTTGGACTGCAGATTACCCTTCAATTAAGCTTAAATTTCCCTCATTTATCTAGCATTTAGGTTTACAATGTAACTGGAAAAAAAAAAATGTTTTCTAGAAGACAGATGGGGTGGCTTTGAAGATTGCTGAAGGACAACTGCAACTCTCCAAGCCAAAGCACATAAAAGTTTATAAGTAACCAGTGAGCCTGCCCCACCTCTGCCCTCCTGGGCATCTTGCTGCTTGAAGGCAGTCACACAGGATCATGGAATTGGGTGAGAAGGGAGCCCTGGCCCAAGCCTGCTCCAGCAGGGCCCCACAGCAGCCTCCTGGTCCCTGCCTGAGGGCTGAGGAACAACCATGGCCCCTGGGGCTCTGCAACAGCCCCCCTGGACCTGGTTTACAACATGAAGCCATCAGGAAGGCCCAAAGCAAGGTGGGGGAGCTCGGGAAACGCTGATTTCCACAGCTGAACTCCCACCACTTTGTGTCTTTTACACAAAGCTGTCCAGGAGATTGTATGATATCTGCTGCCTTGTAAATTTCACACCAAATCAAGTCGAGCAGAAATTCTCAAGATTGCACTGATGGAAAGAATGGTAGCAAAGAAAAAAACACGTGACCTGATAGGTAAGAGCAAGTGTGTGATGAAGTGCTCAGCCATCCTGATGCAGCATCCCATACTCATTTCTGAGACCTCAGCTTCCACAAAATAAAGGTCAGCAAAGCCTGCACAGAGTTAACAGATGGAAATGTGAAATATTAATGAGTGACTCCCATAAGCCTCTAGTTCAGCAGCACAGCATGTGGGATTTCTGCTTTGCTGTGGCCATGCTGCCCTAATGCCTTCAGCAGCCTTGCTCTGAATGACCCCCCTCTCCTCCCAAAAGCTCAAACAGGCACGAGTGGTGGGATGTGTGGGTCTTGTTTTTACTGAGGAGATAGAGCAGGACAGTTAGTGATGGTCTGAGGCAGCCATAAACTGCCACCCTCCACTGATTTCAGCACTCCCCAGGTGAGTCTTCATCATCACCCTCCCCAGGTCAGTGAGGAAACATCAGTTGACATTACAGTGGAGAAGCTGAAGGGGTTAATGATATAAACAAAGGCAGGGCTATGTGGACAATAAACAGTTTATTACCAATATGAACACAGATACTGTGATGCAGACGTACCATTTTTTTTTTTATATTGTGATAACTCTGAGACAAAGAACTTGTTGGCTGACAACTAACATGTCTCTTTTCTTCTGGTGATGCCACAATACATTTCTGTTGGCAAAGGATCTTCATTTACATTGCAGACTACTAATAAAATTACTTTGAAGTCATCTATCAAAAGCAAATGGTTCACGTGTGTTCTTATCTACTACTAAAAAGAAAGGTAATACATTTAAATAAGCAAATACAAAATACAAAAAAGGCTGACAAATCCAATGTGCAGTGTCAGATGAAATCTAAAAAATCCAGAAATTTAAAATTTAATATTCTTTAGATTAAGACTTTTAAAATGAAGCAAATCCAAGGCAGCAGCAAGCTTCAAAGTGTGCTGAGTCTGCTAATAAAAAGGGTATAAGAACAAAGACAGTGCCGGTGTCCTCTCTCACCATCTTGCGTGACCTTGGTACACTCAGAAATGATTCAATCTTCCTAGCATTCTTAGTACCGTCCAAATGCTTTGCAATCATGTTGTACTGATCCTACTCAACTCCTGCCGTATGGCTAGAAAACCAAACCAAAAAAGTTAGCGCAGAGCATTCTACCCGGCACATGGAAAATGCTAAGTACAGAGCTTGCAGAAAGTACACGCCAGTAAAAGGATGAGTGGAAGGTAAAAGGATGAGTAAGGGTGAACAGTCAGCTGTTTGCTTGCAAACTGCAGTAGTGGTTTAAGTGGCACCTGTGATTCATGTGAATGTCTTATTTTGCACTGGAATGAACTGGGGAGTCTTTGAGGGCCAAGCTGCTGGGACCATAGCAAACGGGCAAGGGTGTCCTCAGCTGCCAACTGCCCAACTGTTATGAGCACGCGGTGCTGGGGGAAGGGCAGCGGGCATGGCTTTTAGCTGTTTGACAGTCTCCTCTTTTTCCCCTTTCGTATGAAGCTAAGTTGGGAAATGCAGGGTGTGGATGTGGATCTTTGCACGCCCTAATGCAGGTGTCTATAAATAAATAGGTAATTTGCTGTGAGTGTCATTAATAGTAGCATTACACTGTCTCATGTTGGCCTTGAAGAACGTATTTTGTCACAAAATGTAAAGCAATTTATAAAAAAACTGCTGAAACATTGCATTTCACCGAGTTAGAAAAATACGCGGCTATTCAGATTGAGTTAACTGAAATAGTTTTTTGAGCACAAGCATCCTCCAGAGGATGCTCAGAAAGGGTTACCAATTTGGTACACTTGACCCTTCCTGTGTCAGACCAGTTGCGTGCGATTTCACACTCCCTGGTTGTGGTGAACTGATGTGCCATGTGGTGAACATGTGCCATTGGGCCAGTCCTTTCTTCCACTCCCACCTGTGAGACGCACAGGCCAGTGACTTTTTCACAGGTTGGAGTGAAAATGTGTGTCAACAGCATAAAGATAAAGGATGAGAATATAGTGTTATGACCAAAGACTGGTTGAGGTAGAATGTTTTTCTTCAGATGTGTATATAAATCAGAGCTGCACAGACAGGTCTGAAAACACCAGGAACTCCCTGCAGTGCCTATCATCTTATCTACAGGAAATTAGTCATAAAGGTGAGAAAAATAATGATTTTTCTCTTTCTTACCATCAATTATCTCCTCTTTCACTTTGTGTAACTCTCTTACAACTTCCTCCAATATTTCCTGATGAGACAAAACACAAGTCAGCTGCTCAGCATTTCCTTCTGACTGGTGGAAGAAAACGCAAGTTTAACACGGTCGTGGTGGGTCCCCCACCTCCGCGGCTGCTCAGAGCCTAGTTCTGCTTGCAGCTATGGCTGCACTCCCAGGCCAAGGGTGCAGCAGAGGCTGGGGCATTTATTTGCACGTTTCGTACAGTCATCTTGCTCAAATAGCAGTGAGATTGTGCTCTCTTGCTGCTCACCAGCTATCCTTTCTCTAAGCACCTAGTCATAGAGGAAACCAGAAGACTGAACAGCTGTTTTGCTTGTACAGCGCATGCATGGGGGAAAATGGGTAGCTCGTCAACTCAGGTGCGAAAAGACCTTTCAACTCACCTGTTTCATCCGATCAAAATCTAAGGCATCCATAGCCACATCATTGCTGCTGCTCACTGGCTTCATCCTTGATAAAGGGAAGAAGAGAACAAAATGCCGGCCCATCAGTGTCTGCAGTGTGTGCTGAGCCACCCCCCCATAGAGATGTAGGTGCAGCCAGCGCCAGAGCAGCAACATCCGTATGGGAGAGCTGGACTAGGGACTCTCCATGTGCTACGGGGCTGCGTCCTCAAGGAGGCTGCTCTCAGCCTTCAGTGGAGCAGAGAACACATGTAAAATAATTGTGCTGAAACCTCATTCAGGATTTTTTGGGGGTTGTGGTCCTCCATGACTTAAATTACAAAACACTGGGGTGACCTAACAATACACTTCATTACAGCACTAGCAATTTGCAAGATAGATGTCTGGTTTTCTACCTTTCTCAATCCATTTTTTGTACAACCACCCTGTCTTGGCTATCTAGGCTTTAATAAGCTGTTAAAATAGTAAAACACAGGTGAGCATAAGACTAACCCAGTAATAACCCAATAATCCTTTCCTTGGGAAGGCCTGACTCAAGCAGAGCTTTGTGATAACACTGCACAGCACAGGCACTTTGTCATGACCCAGAAGCAAACCCAATCTGCCCTTAAGGCCTGATACATTTGGGTGTTATCAGCCTTTCTGGACTGTATTAGTCCATAGGCTGAACTCTGCTGATGGCTGTGAAATAACATAAAAAAGCAGAAGCTGTCTGACTTGCCGTTTTAACAATTTTAAAACATCTCAGAAATGAATCACGTTAAGTAATTCATAGAAGAGGTTTCAAATAACTTTGCCATCATTTCAGGGCCCAAACTGAGGGCTGGCTGAGATCCCACCGCCTCTGCGAGTGTGTTTCGTCTCACAACTCTCTCTTGGGAAAACGTTCACATCTTGCTACAATCTCAAAATGAAGTTGAGAGGTAAGACAGATACAAACGTCATCAAGCTGATTGAGAAGGAGACTGGCCACTGCTGGGAGCTTCTGCACAGTGCCCCTCTCTCCCTGAGGAAGTCAGACAAGCAGCAAACACTGAGCATTACTCAGGCATTAAGCTAGCAATGGATTTTCCCTCACTCAACTCCTCCCAAGGTGGAATGACTTTGTAGAAACGAGTTGGCACAAACTTGATGGCTGCTTTAAATAGCTCACATTTTGTTCCTTTCTGCAAGGAGAAGAAATGGTCTTTCCTATATCTAATGGAAACACACAGCAGTGTCCCATCGATTTTAGGAAAGCAGGCAACTGCATTTCACCCTAGGAACACTGAAGCACCCTTCAATTTTTGGACAGGGCATGTTCTGGCATCTGTAGCACAGGAATAGGTAAGCACAGATAGTTGCCATTGGCAATTTTCTTTCTTCTTCTATCACTGTAGTACAAGTAGGTGCAAAACAAGGGGCATTGCTTTGCAGTAAATGGTAACTATATGCAACTCCTTTCACTTATCCAGCCATCTCAGTGCTCGGTACTGCAGGAACAGAACATGAGGTGGGCCAGCTGGAAGAAGTCTCTCTCTTTCACTTCCCAATACTGAACCTCAATCTCCATCTTGATGGGTAACAACTTGAGTGATCACGCACAGTGTGGCTGTTTTCACTAATGGGGTGGCTGGATTCCTGCTTCAGGCTTCTTGGCTTTCTTCACATATTTCTGAATGCCCTGTCTGGTGCCTGGGGCTTTCCAGGCCCAATGATATGAAGTTATTGCACCAAGCTTTGCTCTCCTTCCTCATGTATCCACTGCAGTTGCAGAGGAATAACTTTTCCAAGTTGTCAGCGCTTCAGATCATTTCTGTCTTTGATTTTGGATTTCTGCTGAAGTTGGACAATTAAACCTTCCCCTCCTGGCAGAGACATCCTGAACCAGCTGTATAGCAGTGCTCCAAAACCTCCCACCCACTTGGCACAGCACACTGCCAAGCCCACAAATACTTTAAGCACTTGCTTAAGTGTGATTAACTCCTGTGCCCACCTGAGAGGGGCTGTTTCCACGGAACAAGCCTTTGACACAGCACATGCTACCATTACACATTTCAACTTTGTGCAGGGACAGACAGAGCAGATAGAACAGAATGAGTAAAGACAGAAAACAAACATCAGTGCTGAGCACTGGGATTTGCCAAAGGACAAGTCAAGACAGGTAAGAAGGCGGGCTGTTAGCCAGTACCTAGAAGACACGTGGGATTGTGTGGGGCTCTTAGCTTCACAGCTCTTCACCATGGATGGATTTCTACAGCAATGGAATGAAACGAGACATGAGTTGTACAAGTGCCACGGGGACAGCGTGACCATCCCAACTGCTAGCCAGATGCAGGGACAACCTATGCCACTCACCTAGACAGTAATGAAGATACAGGCTTTTCAACAGAATTGCTCCTTTCCCATGGCTTCTTCCCAGAGTCTGGAAAACAAAGATGAAAATTTACTGCCAATTATTTTTTCTCTGATAATAAAAAATCCTGAAACCGTTTTATACAGCAGCTCTAGAAAGATCCAGGAAACCAAAAGTGCTGAATGAGTGTAGTTCCCTACACTACAGAGAAAACATTGACAAAAATCTGCTTAGAGACCTCGTTAATGGAGGACCAGACACTTAAATGATCCTGAAGAGACATGGAATTGGAACAGTACAAAGAAAAGAAGAAATCACTGAGATCAAGAAATACAAGTTAAGTGTTGCTTATGTTTCTTGACTGCACAGTTGGCATAAAAAATGAATGTATATGAAAAAAAGCAGCATGATCTCCCCCTGACAACTGACATTTCCACAGAGAGAATTTATTTAATGCCGTTTCCATTGCTAGCTAACAGAACATTTCCCAAACTACACTTCAGATGTCTTGTTTCTGAAAATGCCTACTGTTATCCCAGCCTCTTCTTATGCAAATAGTCAAAAATAAAGTGTGCTCTTTCAGAGACCTGAATGGCACACAACCTTATACACAGAAGTCTGTTGCTCTGTGAGGTCCCAAAAAGCAATTTAGAGGAATAATAGGCACTCCCAGGAAGTCCCTAGATACTGTTCCTCCTTTACATGTGTGCACCCTTCTACTAACCTCTTCTCCTTCCTCTGCAAAACAAGCAAATAATGGCTTTGTTCCAAAAGGAAGCTG